GATTGCTATGTTAATCACACAATGGTGAAGGTTCACATCATTTTATATATATATATATTGCTGCTAAATAACTCCGCATGCACATTTTGATACTAATAATAAAATGAACTTTGGAATCATTAATATATGTAATTTTCTTGATCTTTACGCTATTGTTTAAAATTCTGCGTATGCATAATTCATAAGGTGTTTCGTCTTTACGGGTAAATGCAAAGAGACAGATTGCTTGTCTGGCTTCACTGCCGGAAACACATCAAATGCTGCAGAAAACATTGAAAGATTTTGCTGATGCAGAATTAAAACCGTTAGCCGGAAAACACGATAAAGAACATTTGTATCCAGCGCAACAGATTCGCAAAATGGGCGAGTTAGGTGTGATGGGCATAACAATGCCAGAGAAATTAGGTAAAGAAGTTTGCATATTAGAAAGATTTTAAATAGAATATTTTGTTTTTAGGTGGTAGTGGATTAGATTATCTTGCTTATGCTATTGCAATGGAAGAAATATCGCGTGGCTGTGCGTCATCGGGTGTAATTATGTCAGTAAACAATTCTTTGTTTCTTGGGCCGTTACTAGCTTATGGTAACGAAAAACAGAAACAAACATATATTCCACCATTCACTGCAGGTGAAAGAGTAGGATTTTTTGCTTTATCTGAACCTGGAAACGGTTCTGATGCCGGTGCTGCGTCTACAGTTGCTACAGATCACGGTGATCATTATGTGTTAAATGGCACAAAAATGTGGATTACAAGCGGATACGAAGCAGAAGCAGGCATTGTGTTTGCGACAACACAAAAATCGCTAAAGCATAAGGGCATTTCAGCCTTTATAGTACCAAAGAATATTAAAGGATTTTCATTAGGCAAAAAAGAAGACAAACTCGGTATACGTGCGTCGTCCACGTGCCAATTAATTTTCGAAGACTGTGTTATACCAAAAGAAAATTTATTGGGAGATCCTGGATATGGGTTTAAAATTGCTATGCAGTCGCTCGACGCTGGTCGAATAGGCGTTGCTGGACAGGCTTTAGGAATTGCTCAGGCATCTTTAGAGGTTGCATGTGAATATGCCCAGAAAAGAAATGCATTTGGAAAGCCAATATCAAAATTACAAGCAATACAGCAAAAACTAGCGGATATGGCACTTCGTGTGGAAGCAGCTCGATTGCTTACTTGGCGAGCTGCTTGGTTAAAGGATAATAAAAAATCATTTAGTAAAGAAGCGGCTATGGCTAAGTTAGCTGCATCTGAAGCAGCTACCTATTGTTCTCATCAATGTATACAAGTTTTAGGTGGTATGGGTTATGTTACAGACATGCCCGCTGAACGTCATTATCGCGATGCACGAATAACTGAAATTTATGAGGGAACATCTGAAATACAAAGATTAGTTATTGCTGGTGCTGTACTAAAGGAAATGGAGACAAACTAAATTGTATGACAACACAATAAATTAATCACACTATATACACAAAACTATTGATCCTTACATTTTTGATATGTTCGTTTTTATATAATAAATATTATGAATGCATATAAAATTATGTGTAATTGCTTATTAAATGCTCAGGGTTACCGTAGAATCTATAGAATTCTCAAATAAATAATTAAAATATTTTCGTGTGTTATTCACTAAAAAATGTTTGATGGAGCAAATTGCTTTCGTAAGGTTTCATCAAATAATGGAATCACTTCTTTGATTTGTAGCTGCATTAAATCAACGAAAATAGATGAAATTAAGAGAACTCTATAAAACTTAGTTAAATTTATTATAACCAAGAATACAAATATAGATATATATTTTTTCTACTGAATGTTTATTAAATTTAGTAGATCATAGTTTAATTCATTCATTGTGCCTTATAAAAATTTATGTCTTCTCCACTGGTAGGACTGTGTTGAGGTAGATAACGCTCGTATGTTGAAATGTTTTCGTCCTTTTAACATGATTGTTTAAAATGGTGAACCATAAATGATAGAAGTGATATTATCTATATTGTTATATTTTTCATTTAAGTTTAAATTATGACATTAATAATATAATATGTGCTATAGTATTTGGTTTATATTTATATAAATTTGCCTGCGCAAATCGAGAGTAGCATATAAAAATTTCTTGAACTGCTAACCCTTTGTAAACAAATTCAAACAAATCGTTTAAAGTATGTATTGTTTCAATTTAATTTATTAAAAAATACTAATAAATTTTATCTATATTGTTAACACACTTTAAAAGAATAAGACACTGGTGAGCGTAGTGTGCAAATAAGGGCGTATTTATAGAAAAATACTATAATACACATTATTATTATTAATATATTCATTTTATAGTTTCTGCAGTTCGTTGGTGTTCAAAGTGATAATTACTAAATTAGAATTAAAAATATACAAAAAATGTACCATGAACCTATTAAATAAAAGTTTATTCTTAGCTTTTAATTTAGAACAATATTTTTACTTGGTATAATACAGCATATATGATATTATGTTGTTTTAAGATCCATTTTTATTGATGCGTACTAATTATTTGCGGAGCTAGACTTTAATAATAAACTCACTTAATTCCTAAACGATTCCCCACTCTGATGAGCCTATAGCGTTTCCTATGAGAAACGCGTCACTGAAACCTTATAGATTGACAGACGGTTATTAATTTCTCAAATATCTGTTGATATTGGTTAACTATAATGATACTTTCATAATAAACGTAAATACAGATGGATATTGGCAAGAATATATAATGTATAATTTGTAATATATTTATGTAAATGTATTTGATAAGGTTACATGTTATGTTAGGCCTATTTTAATCGTGTCTCTAGTGATTAGTCGTCATTAATGTCTGGAAGGTGCATGAGAGTTTCGACGCTGTCAGGGGACGTACTGTTCTTATGCATGCCGCAGTGGATGATCTATTTGTCACCGCTCCCTGGCGGGATACGAGGTTGCTGTATACCTAAGAAATGGATACGTGGACTCCTCGTACTTATTTGTAATGTTGATCTTTGAATTTAAGTTTCAGCAGTGAATAATATGCCGACAATATACTGAAGGCAATATACTGTTTTTGTAGCCACAGTTGGTTATAGGCTCATGATAGTGACAGAATGCAACTTTTGATGCCCCACTTTGTTGACTCCAATTAGTAACTGAACGTCTAGACACGAAATTTTGATTCAGATGTACTGTTTTAAACTTAAATAAAAGATTATTTTATACATTGTATTTTTAATTTATTTTTTATAGTTTACTTTTATAAATATATTGCCAATGTTTCAAAGTTTTTTCTTGTTTGACAATTCATTTATTCAAAAAGCCCTTTAAAAAATTTAAACATACCTATGTATATTATTGCTTTAAATTTAATTAATATTCATATAAATCTCTCACGGTTAGCTGCTTCATCTACAGTTAAAAAGGCAGTTCAAATACTGGTATCAGCGATTTCGGAAACCATTTGTCTTATTTTTGATCAGATAATGTTTTGAAATGAGTATTATAAAAATTTTAACCAGTTACCGAGCATAGTATTTTATTTTTTTGTTTGAAATAGCAAACACTTTACAAATAATTGAATATAAGTCGCACTTCATGGGCAGTATTGCTTGATTTTCCCCGACATAAATGGTTATATAGTTAAATGGAAAAACTGCAGTAGGAGCAATCGACATGCCACATTATTTCCACCTAGTTGTGGTGAAGTATTTTCAATTTTCTGATACTTACAATACACTTAGATCCTGTTGAAGATTGTCTTAAATCTTATTTCGCTGATCAAATAACATTTAAAAAAAAAATTGATGAATTATGTTTTTTTTTTTCGAATTTAATTTTGACCTTCTTAAATTATTTTAAAACTATATTAAACTCTATCACGAACTTTATAGGAGTAACTCGGATGAGTTAGAGTAAAATTAAATATCAGAAACTAGGTGTAATAGTGCAAAACGAATACGCCATTGGTCCTAATTACCTGGAAATCGTATAATATTTAATATGCATATTTAATTAAATAAAATAATTATTAGAGAAGTTTCGAATAGTAGTAAGCTACAACAACAAAAAATATTTTTATATTATTTTAATTAATTGAATATTTGGCTGACCATACAGCTGTTTTGAGTATTGCCAAATACCCATCATCAGTAATCTTGGAAATAATTCTTGCATTTAATTATTCGTAAATAATTTTTTTGACTCTGCAAATACCAGAATCGAAATCGTGCCCTGCCAAGTTTGAAGCGCAGAGTCAGCGCTTCTTAACCAAACATTCCTTTAATGATTTACCTAATGTAGATTATTTTTAGTTAATTTAAAAATAGAAATATGGTATTAATATATTTAATATAAAGAAATGCAATTCTTCATCTTGTTTTAGCCATGTACTGAGATTAATAGTTATAATTACAATAAGAACGATTAAGCTCGTCGTGGTTTTATTCATAATTTAAAACAGTTGGATGTGATAACTAAAAATTAACTTAAAAAAAAAGATCAAACAAAGAAAATTTAACGTTTTTTAGCTTAGGATACAAAGTGATGTTCAGTGATGAAAGATGTATTGCCATGAAGAATAATTCGTTTGTGAGAAGCGTTTTTCATACTTTCCTGCGAATCGCTGAGAAGTGTTGTTGTTGTAAACCGCCGGGACCTGCTTGTGGAGTCCCTTTGAGAGGTATTGAACGGTACTTGGTCGTCGTAGGTGACGAGTGGCATTCGACTACTAAGTTTAATTCCATTAAATCTTTTTTATTTGTATTAATATTTTCCAAATTACGAATAACTTTCTGTCGATCGTAAAAGTTGTTCGATTGAAAACAAATTTAAAAAATTTTAAAAATAACCTAAGATCTTAATTCTAAGTAGACTGATGAACAAAGACATTTTAAATATTATATATAAGTATAAAAATTAAAACTTAATTAGAAAGTTAATTAAATTTTTTTATGTATTAAACAGAATAAACAAAGTCAAATTATACAAAATTTATATGCATTTAGATTATCTATTTGCTTTTATTACTTTCGATTTAGTGAGTTTATTTCCAACTTTGACTTTAGACTGTTGTAAACTGGAGCAAAAAAGAACCTGTAGAGAAAAAGAACTTTATAATTATTTTATTTCAAAATCACAAAACTTAATACAAACTGCTTGAGCCCATCCAGCGAAAGGTCCATATATGGAACGATAATGATTTGCAATATCATTATAAATTTTTGTTGTCATTGTTTTAGACGTAGATAAATGTGGCATGTATGAGGTCTTCGCTGTCTTGAACATATGAACATCGATAGGAACTGCTTCTAAATGATTTAACGACATTAAACAAATACAATCTGCACATTTTAGACCAATTCCAGATATTTTTGATAGTTCTGAGCGTGCTTCGTAATACGGTATACTTTTTAATCCATTTAAATAATTATTACCACCATTTTCATGAATCTTTTTAACTGCTTGAGATATATATTTAGCTCTGTAACCAAATTTAGCTTCTTTTAACGTCGATTCCAACTATGAATTAAACTTTTAGCACACTTCTAATTTGTTTATAGTTTGAAAAATTAATACTTCATTTTGGTGTAGTAATAATTGGCTTAATGTAGGAAAAGTGTATTCATCTGCTCCATCAAAATGACCAATTTTCGTGCCATATTTTGTGCAAATCCAACGTACCATAGATGAAATTCTTTAATATACAAAAAGTATTATAATCATTATAAACTAATAATGGAAAACAAACCTTCCAATATGATTGTTTTGACTGCAAATAAAGGATACTACATTTTCGAAAGGCTCTTGCTTCAGAACTCGCACTGCTGTTAACTTAGAATCCATTTTTGTAAAATGTTGATGTGCTGCTTTCCATTGTTCTATATGAAGCAACAGATCAAAGTCAATTCGTAAATATTCTCGTAACATATTTTCAAAGTAACTCTTATGGTTGCAGATCTTTAATGGCACACTTGTTTGTAAAGGATAAGCTTTGTACTTCACTGAAGAACTGCTTTGCGTTAATATCCAAAATACTTCATATGCAACGCCTTTCCATTGTTTTTCTTGTTGTATATCTCTCCTCCAACTTTTAAAATTTTTTAATATGTATTAAGATTAATAATATGTATTAAATAATTATTTACCGAAAACTTTGCCCACCGCATAACGTTAAATCTAGATTTAATTGGTTTTCATCAATAAATATTTCACCATCATAGAATAACTCCATTTTAGCAACGTTTAAATCTAAAATTCTTTCCGCACATAATTTGACACAATACCCTAGGTGTCTTACACACTTTATACACATATAATTGAAGTCCGAAACCAAAGAATAAAACAAGAAATAAAAATGCAAGAATTCAGTTCATATTGCAAATGTTCAAGTCACGCCTATCTGATATAAAGTTCGATTAAAAATTGGTCACATTCACTTAAAAAAATAAAATTCTACTTTATAAGCAAATAATTAGATCTTAACTACTTTAAAGTCGTGTTACTTTTGGCAATGCTGCTCCATCCACCATCAGAAACCTTTAGACAAGTGCGAGTAAATTGATGGTATAT